TTACTTATGTGAAAAACCCAGCAATTCCTAGGGTTCCAAGTCTGAATTTATCAATTCACCTATTCTGAAAATTTAGCTGGGACTATTGAGAAGTTGTTGGAAACTGCTGCTGAATGGACGGGCAAAACATATGCTATTGAGAGGAAAGGCATCTTTATTCTTAGAGGAACCTGTGTCTCATTTACACGACTTTTCTTGTGCCCTAGGACTTCCAGGAGTTTAAGAGGAGTGCTTGCAACTTGCTGTAAACTTATAATTATTTCACATAAGAAGTTTTTTAAAAAATTATTTACTTTTAAAAAGCACTGCATTCAGAATGGCAGATTATCTTCCACAAAGTTGGCAGCTTTACCTTCCCCATCCCCCCACCTAGTATCTAAGAGCCTCCTACATCAGACTGGGCACCACCAGTCCTTTTAACTTTTGCCAATCTGATAAATGCAGAATGTGTCTTTTCTCATTTATGCTTCTTTGATTATTGGTGAGGGAGAACATTGTATCCTACCACAGATGCCATTTGATTTCCTGCCTGGAGTCCATTTTTCTCTGGGTCTGGTGGTTTTTCCTCACTAATTAATAAGCACTTGAAAGCATTTGTAAGCATTTGTATAATGAATGTATTAATATTTCCCCCCTTCCCAACTCTCTTAGATCCATCTTTTGATTTTTTTAAAGCTCAAATAATAGTATTAGGAAGAGCATTTGGAATGTCTAAGTCAACCCATTTGCAGTGACTATCCTGCAGTGTCTGGGAGGCTGCGTCTGCATCTAGATTTTCCCATCCGCTCAAGAAAAACAGACAATAGTCTTCAAGGAGGGCTGGCCACCGCCTTTTCATAATGCTGCCAGAATTTAATTTTTTTGCGTCCCAGGCCCTCGTCGCGCAGGCGAGCGCTGACTCCCGGTGGGGGCGTGTGCGGGCGAGCACGTGGTCTGCATCCTCGGCGACACTCCCACCGCCCTGCCATTGGCCCTGCAGGCTCCGGCCAGCTCCGCCGAGGTATCAAGACTGAGGCGGCGCCGAGGCCTCTGGCCCTCGGACTAGTGATCTACAAACACTAGTCATGACCGCACAGTTCAAAGCCTCCTATCTTTTCCCCTTTCTCTTAGTGGGCTTCGTGGAGACAAATTCCAAGCCGGAGAAGATGAAGGTGAGTGAACGCCAGAGAGGGCGCGGCAGGGCTCCCACGTGGAGCCGCTCTCCTGTCCTACTTCTAGGTCCTGCCTTCCAGTCCTTCCTGTAAGATTCTGACCTCTGCTTTCTTCTTCTTGGCCAGTTCTTCCCAAACCTTTCTTCTCTTCTCTTTGAGTCTTCTTTACTCCTATAAATGGATGTTCCTTGAATTGAATATGGGTAGGGAAAAGGGGGTTTCTTCTTTGTGGTCCTTTTTCGCCTCCTTTCTCAGCTGGAGTCCCCCATCCCACCCGCCAGCCATACCCCTCCAGCCACATCAGTATCTGATCAGAGCTGGGTCTGAGGCTTGGGACAGCAATGGGAGTCCGGGTAGGTGGGGTGGGGGGTTGGAAGAGAGGCTGAGCTGTCATCCCAGACACAGCTTTCTCCTTGGAAATTTATGGGTACCAGTATGTACCTTACGGGTGGGTGAGCAACTTATTACACATATAATGCGTTCTACAAAGGGCAGCTCTGGTAAGATTTCTCCCTGCCACACCCGCTTCTAAAACTAGCTTGATGACTTCCTGGGTGACATGCTGTTTTGAGAATTGATATGGATTTTGTTTCTTAGTGCTGCCTAATTGTGGAGACTCTCAGCTATAGAATGTGCTTAATAAAAGCTGGGTCTGGAGATATTTGAGACACTTCCTACAGACGTTCATAAATTTCGAGCAGCAATTAACATCAGGGGTAAAGTGAGCTAAAAGGAGTCTTCGAGTTCAGAGGCTCTCTAAGCCCCTGAATTCTGGCACCCAACGTGATTTTCATTGCAGTAGGAAGGAAGGAAGGAAGGGAAGAAGAGAGAAAGAAAGAGAAAAAGGACAAAAGAAAGGCAAATTCTTAAAAAGATTTAACTTGAAACCAGATAGGAATGGATGCTTTCATATAATATTCTCTTTCTACATGCCTCAGTTTTGCTGGTGCATGTATGTGTGTATAAATTTAGGGAAAGGTGCAAAAACCTGCATAGAGAAAAATCTTTTCTCACGAGAGTAGGGAATGAATAGCTACAACCTGTCCTACTTATAGAATCATGAGCTGATAGGGTTGGAAAAAGTTGACTTTATTTTGCATAACTCCTTTGGGTGGGGGCAGATGGTGTTTGGCTAAAATTCTTTCTAGTCCACTGTTTTT